CAAAAATTCAACGTACGATGTTCGAAACCCTAGGGTCAACGCCGGTCAACGCGTAACCCTAGGTCGACGCCAGTCAACGCGTTGCGAGCAAAAATTTAACGTACGACGTTCGAAACCCTAGGGTTAACGCCGGTCAACGCGTAACCCTAGGTCAACACCAGTATCAAAAATTCAACGTACGACGTTCGAAACCCTAGGGTTAACGCCGGTCAACGCGTAACCCTAGGTCAACACCAGTCAACGCCGTTGCGAGCAAAAAAATTTAACGTACGACGTTCAAAACCTTAGGGTTAACGCCGGTCAACGTGTAACCCTAGGTCAACGCCGATCAATGCGTTGCAATGAAAGAATATAAAAATGAAGATGATCATGTAGACATGAGAACAAAAGTATCTATATGCGTCCTTAATTAAGTTAAAGAAATCTTTGTATAGATAATGAGGTAGCTAGAGTGGGTGCTATGGAGGAATGAGATCAAAGTTACTCCTAGGTGGTAGGTCTTCGAGTGAGGTGACAAGATTGATATCTCTATTGGAGATTCCCTTTTATTTACTAAAGTTTGCAATTGTAGAAGATTTGGATGGCCCTCCGTGAGATTACGAAGTACTGGAACATTATTTACTAATAAGCATTCAATTAAGGGAGACTGAAATACTTTGGAGGGGGTATCTGTAGGCATATAAAATTGCTTATAGGTCCCTTAGCTCAGCTCGGCACAAACCGACAAACCAACGAGGCAACGAGATTGACTAATCGCACGCAAGCAACAGAATACGTCCATTCGCGTGTGGGATCAAGCCAAGTGTTCGAAGAGTCAGCTCAGCTCGGCACAAACCGACGAACCAACGAGGCGACGAGATCGACGAATCGCACGCAAGCAACGGAATACATCCATTCGCGTGCGGGATCAAGCCAAGTGTTCGAAGAGTCAACGAGTCATCCAACCAAGGGCATACTCGGACGAATCACGATCGAATCAAGATTGGTTTCGGACTCAGATTCAGAAGTGGATTTACTGCCTAATCAGGATCCGGATTTACTGCCAAATCAGATCAACGAATCAAGTCTGGATAAATCAACCACAGAACCAAATCACAGATAGAACCAAGGCGGAAAACACCAAACCCACCACCTAGAGGGGCTCGGGAGCCACCTCAAGGTGTCTCGGCAAAGGCTGAGCCACCTCAAGGTGGCTCGGCCCAGAGCCGAGCCACCCTGAGGTGGCCGGCCCAGATCTGTGCCTAGGCACAGATCTGGGTGCCTATAAATAGGCTAGGCCTTGGTTCATTTCGGGGGTTGGAAATTTTGGAGAGAGGCGAAGCCCTGCTGGATTGGAGACTCGGAAGATCCAAACAAGATTCAAACTTTAGGACTTCAAGGACTTGCTCATCCAGATCTGGTGCTCGGCGACCGTCAACGCCAAATAAGGTAGGTGTTCGAGAGGATCAGATCTCAGATCTACGCAGGCATACTCCGGATCTAAGCTTGGTCTTAGATCCCGAGACTTGAGCGATTGTTTCCTTGGTGAATCAATCCCTCCCGGCTATTATTTCCTTCGTGGAATAATACCCGTCGTACTGCGTAGATCCGACCGGATCTAGATCTCGCGGTGGTCCACGGATAAACCCCGGCGCAGGCAAAGAACCCATCAAGCGAGCGACCGCAAAACAGGAGCTCGTGATTCGTTCGACAAACAAGGAAACAAAGTTGTAATTTTCATTTCTTTTCAAATTTGATTTTCGTTGTAACCGGATCTTATAAAAAGACTGGATCTTTGTAATCGATAAACTATTACAAGAGTGTACGATGGAATCATTAATGAAGAAAGCAACGAATTTCCCCGCGAACAATCTCACTGCCAAAATCATCGCTTGTATTGTTGCTCAAAATCTTATTCTTAAGACCGATATCTTTGATCACTTTGCTCCTGACAAAGTCAATGTTGTATATGCCATTTTTGCCAAGATAAAAGTGAATTGGGAAAATGTTTTCCTTAAAAACATGGCATGTAAGCATTTCAAGTTTCTACCATTTGGTTGCTTCATCACTCTTATTCTACAACACTTCGGTATTGCTCTATCTCATGATCCCAAAGTTGATCCTAGTAAGGAATACTTTGATAGAGTCTCTCTCTCCTGTATGCAAATTTCAGACTCCTTATCTGATCCTACAAAACCATCGTCTTCTCGTTCTCGGTCTAGAGCTTCTACTATCTCAGCTTCTGATGTTTGTGACCGACTTGATCGTCTTGAGACTCAGGTCTCAAGTATTCAGAAGGATGTTAGGACTCTTCTTAGCTATCAGCGTCAGTCTCTTGGGATTCTGGATCCCTCTTCCAGCTCTGATACTGAAGAGGGCTCTGAAGAAGGATCTGCTTCTGGCTCTGGTTCTGGATCTGGCTCCGGCTCTGCATCTAGAGGGCTCTGAAGAAGGATCTGCTTCTGGCTCTGGTTCTGGATCTGGCTCCGGCTCTGCATCTGATGAAGGTGGTGATTGATTCTTGATGATATTGGGTTTATGTTTTCGTTGAACTGAAACTAGATACTTATCTTTTATTTGGGAGTTGTAATAACTTTATGGTTTGTGTTTTGAAAAGTATGTGTATTGTGGAACTATTTCAGGTTATTGTGGTTATGATAGCTTTTGACTATCGTTTTATGGTTTTCCTTTAGATCCTCTGCACAATGTATTGAAAACAGGCTGTTAAGGATGTTATTTATGCAAAAAATTTGGTTTTTATATTTATGATTTTAGTAGCTTGTTATGGATGTTTATGATGATTATGGATGTTTATGATGATTATGAATGTTTATGATGTTTATGTATGGTTATGGATGTGTAGCTCCCATATATATT